ATTATCTCAACAATTTCCTGCGGGATCAATAAAGTTCTATCTTATCTTTTCAAGATACTCAAAGTGTTTTACACAACAATCTGTGTCCTCATTTACCCATCCATTCAGCACTCTACTATTTCTGTACAGAGAATAATTAGTGCTTTACCACATTCATACACCGATGGGACATACATCGGAGGCAATGGGGGGGGTTCGGTGTCTTGCCCTGGGACATTTCAGCATGTGACTGCTGGTAGAATCGAACCTCCAACTCTTGCATTGGAGGACGACTGCTTTAACCACTCAGCCACAGCCGCCCCATAATCACCATAATCGAGGGACTACTGTATATATAATTTTTGATGATGTGGAAATTAACATTACTATAATCAGCAATGACGCCTACATACAGAGTACTATAAAAGAGAAATGGGTACATTTCATATATTGTGCTCTTCGAAATATAAGGAGCTGAACAAAATCCATACAGCTAACTCTGCCCTCTTCATCAAGTCAATGGATTTTCAATGAGCGTTAACAATTTCTAAACTGTTTTTAATTTTGCAAAACAGATTGAATGAACATGCCTAATTATGTTAAAGTCAACTTTAGAGCTATACTGTGGGTTTGAGAGTTTAAAAGCCACGCTGAAGGAGAATAAAGACCAACACCTGCCTGTCTGCAGCTAACAGACATCTCTACAAACTTTAACTGCAAACAAATTTAGACCACTTCCTGCTCTCCTACTCAGTTTTGACCTTGTCCTCCCACTTGTGCCTTCTTGTTGGCAATGTATGGCCACTGCTCTGCCTATAAAGAGCTGTGAACTGGACTGTAACATCTCAAGTTTATCGCTTAAAATAATCTGCCGGCATAAAGAGAATAAAATCTACAGTCGCGGTAGGGAACTGTCCTTTACTGCCACAGCAGAAACACTGCTGTGGGGCGGCACACTTGTCTAACCTCCTTTACCTTCACTACAGTGTATCACGTTGCTTAGTCCCCCCTGTGTTCCCTTGATCAGCAGGCACATTAATCCCTGTGTTGACTCTGCACCTGTACCAGCGTGGGTCTAACTCCTCGATGATCAGCATCATCTACGCGGATGGAGTGTGCACGCAGCTGTGCTTGGGTGGCTTCCCGTCTATCCCGGAGCGACAAAGCTGCTGACCGAGCGAGAAAGGCTGATTGTATCGATGGCTGATTAAAGCGCCCCGCAGGAAGGTTGGAACTACAGCTTTCACTGCTCTAATTACAGACTTAATGAGTCCTCAGGTTTTTAGCCCGAGTGGACGGAGAATCCTCCAGAGAGGGGCATGTGAGCCAGGCTTCATAAATCACCCCACCTTTTCTTTTTCTCCAGGTCCTACCTATCCCATTCTGCACGCTGAGGTGCAAACACATGGAAGGTTACGTCATACCGACTTGTACCCAATGATCTTGGAGCTTTCCTGACATTTATTTTGAACCGAGTCCACAGAGAAACTAACCGTGGCTGACCCTCATCATGGTCTCAGGTGGGTATAAAGGACAACAGAGGAGAATCTGCATGGCAACGAGAACAAGACAACATAAAACAAAATCACGTCGTTAGATACAACACGTGACATGATCCCACAAGACGATTTGATTTTGAAAGGATACACTGTAATATCAGCTTCACCTCTTAAGACGTTTTCATTTACAAACATTAATCAGTCAGGCAGTAATACTGCAGCACCAGATCAGACAGCCCAGAAAAGTACTCTCTCAGAAACTATGCAACCACAACAATGTGCCACGAACAGTGGGCGATTGTGTTTAGTATTAGAAACTGTCAAAAATTAAATAAAATAAAAAGACGTTTGCAGATTATTTGGACCTCGTCAGGCTGCTGCCTATGTGAAGGTTTGGTTCATGCTTGGAGGACTCAAAATCAGCTGATTTATGAGCGAAATCGTAAATTAGAAGTGATTTGAATCGCAGGCCACCTGCGGCTTTGGGACTCATCAGCATGATAACAACTTTGAAGAGGCTCGTAAGCACGGACCAGTAGAATGCACCCTAATCTGGCCATTTCAGACCTTGGAAGTACCAGTAAAGACTCAAGGCTGACAAGGAAAAAATAGTCTGCCTGAATAAGTCAATAATTGTGGTTATCTGAATCTGACTCCCCGGTTGGCTTCGGAACAGGCCGACTTATCAATTTCTCCTGGAAATGTTTAAACTAAGGAAAAGCTTTGTCTATTGCAATATTTGTTAGTACTTCACGTATCGCCTCATCGTAAATGCATATGTAAAGTGTTCATAAATGTGTGTTAGCTGGCAGTTTTTGATGTCTTAAATCGTGTCCTGTAAGGGCAAGGTGTGAAATGAACTTTTTTGTAATGCCACTATCCTCTCCTAATGGCTTTGTCCCTTTTTCTATCTATAAAATGTATTCTGAAAAAGATAAGAAGGCCGCACTTTATAGCAGCAGATTTGTGAACTCCGCCCATCTTTTGGACGGCTGTACGGACATATTCTCGTTGTATCTCGGTGCAATGCTAATAAAGCTTATTCTGATGTTACTGACAGTCATTAATCGTTTGCTTTATTTAGCATAAGGACAATAATTAGTCTTTGAAAGAAAGATCTGAAGCAAAGACTGCAGACCCACTAACAAATGAACTGTCAGTTACAAAACCTTGAATAATAATAAAAAAAAGATTAATCAATTACACAAGTCAATAACGTGTCAATACCCATTTCAGATCACTGCAGTTTGAGGCATTTTACCAACAAGAACTATAAGAAGTGTGAAGTTTTTGGACCCTTCAACACTAACAAGCACAAGTTCAGAGTAGGGCTGGACGATACGGCCAAAACTTTTATCACGACATATTTCTTAATATCGGTCGATAACGATATAACTTCGATATTGATATAAACAATAAAAGCTTCAGAAAAACTGTACAAATAAATTAATGTTCACCTTTTATTTGTATGTAGCCTTCAAAAAATTTTGAAATCACCATCAAATAAACATAAAAATCTCAACTTTGTCAATAGTTTTAACGTGGTGCAACAACATAACCTAACAACCCACGCAGCAAACGCAGACGTTATACATATACTGCAGACGTTTGCTGCATGGGTTTCTCTCTTGATACAGCTGGGGGTGTTGTTTCAGGGACACGTTAGCTCAAACTTTATTGTGCATCATCTTCTGACTCTCAGCATATTCTATCAAGTGGAACAAGTTAGATGTGTTCCCACTGCTAGTTGGAACGACTCTCCGGCACATTTTGCAGCACACTGACTGAAACCTGCAGTTTATCGTATCTTAGCCGAACCTCTTCCACACCGTCGAATTAGTCTTTCCTCTCTTATCAGTTATGTCATCTGCTTTCTCTTTGCTTGTGAAAGCTTGTTCAGTCACGTTCTGACGGTCATGGGCACTCATTTTGAAGCAAAAACTTAACGCACGTTGGTGATTAGCCTAGCCTGCTACCACTAACGACTTCTGGACTCGAGCTCTGCGTAACATCTACGTCACCACGCACTTAGGTAATTGTGTCGCGACCTTTTCTGTTCGGGTTGAAACTGAAGCGGCCGCTTCAACCCGAACAGAAAAAGAAATGCGTCAGTGAAACGCTGTAATCCTATCGAAATATCAAAAAAGTGCATAAAACTCACATCACCATTATTGAATAAAAGTATATTGTGGCATATATCGATATCGAATCAGTGTTTCCCATACCATTATACAAGTGGGGTGCCCCACCCTGTCAACAGAACTGAGCACCCCGCCTACCAAACCGAACTTGGCCCCCCACCCACCCACCTGGCACTGACATAGCACTAAGTTAGCGGCGCGAAATACAGGCTCTCTAGCTAAAAAGCTAAAGGCAGCATTCACGTTTCCTATTCCCTCAAGCTGAACACCCCCCGCCCCCACTCAAAAGCTGCTACACTCAGACATGTGTCCGTCTCCATGGCAACAAAAATCATGGATGAGATGAGCACCCTGCCATGGCAAGTTAACTAGGGGGAAACGCTGCGAATTATTGTCCAGCCCTAGTTCAGAGTCAAAAGGTCTCCATGTAGCACTTTTTTCATAGTTTGGCCAGTCCTGTGACTTATAGTCCGAATTCATTTATATACGTTTTTTTTCCCTATTCATGATGCAATTTTTGACTCACATGTTAAATGTTCATTCATACTGACATGAACCAAAGAGTAAACATTAACATTTGCAGCCACAAGAGGGACCTCTAGCTTTGGACAACTAAATGTTGTTCCTTTTCCGCTAACCCCCCAAAACCTTCACTCAGAGACAATTGAGAAAAACTTAACACTGAGAAAACCTAACACAAGTAAAATGCCCCCAAAGGTGATGTGGAATGAGATTGGTGAGTTTACCAGTAACTTGCTTGTCGGACTCGTTGGCTTGTTATGTTAATTAAACCTGTTCAGGATCCCAGGTGTGTTCTGTGTGTTATTGTTATTTCAGATTAAATGTCTGTTCTTGAACTTCGCAAAATACACGTCTAACTAAATGCGACTTATACTCCGAAGCGACTTTTTTTTTTTTTTCTTCTCCTCATGAGGCATGTTTTGACTGATGCGACCTACGCTCTGGAGCGACTTATAGTCTGGAAAATACGGTAATAATTCTAGGTGGTTCTTTACTGGATGTACACATTTCTCTTGTTTGAAAAGACATAACAAAGACAAATAAGACTGAACAAGGTGACAAACCTTTCATTATTTAAAAACAAAGCTATAAGTAGAACTGTTGAGATAAATAGTTTAACATTCATCAGCTTGAGGTATCGGACATTTTGTTTGAGCTTACTTCATGATGTATTGTGGCACGTTTTCACATGACCCAGATCTTTGCATGTTCGCTGCATGGTATATTTGCATGGTAAAGTATGAAGATTATTCACGGTAATGTTTGTTTTTATCTTCACAGAGGGACACGGGTGAAAAGTCAGCATTGTGCCAGAAGCTAAAACAGATTAGAAAAGCCATAAATAACATCTGACTCTTACCTGTAATGCACATGTGTGACGGTAGGAGGCCTGTAGCCAAAGATCCAGGTCTGGATGTCCATTGGTCTTGCTTTGGGGTATGCTATGGTCACATCAATAATCCACTGCAGGCCTTTAATTTTGTTAGCTGTCATGAAAGAAAAAAAAAGTGTTCTTAGTGAAGAGGAAGACAAATACGTAGTTAAATGTTAGATTTTATTCAAAAAGCAACAGACATTAGGAGTTACTCAAAAAGCTCAGATCATCTTGACACTCGAGCTCTTGGATACTGTAAACATTAAATGTGAATGAATTTTAAACGGCAGCAAAGCAGCAAGCTGGTTGACGCAAACAACCAGCTGAAATCCCATCTCAACTGAATTTGGGTTGTAGGAGTAAAAATAAATAACGTTTAATTTTTACTAAGCAAACCAACCTTTTCCTGACGCAAGAATACTTGGGGCATTTTTTTTAGGAATGGTGAAGAACACCCCACCACCAAAACACAAATAAACAAATAAAAACAGGTACTTGACAAATAGAAAGATGGAAGAAGGAATGCAAGAAATTGGGTGTAATCTAGGAAGTTGTCAGTGAGCCGGTTCTTGGGATGGCAAAATGAGCCACAAGTAGACACATGTTCTGGACCACCTTTATTAAAAACAAGGAGATGAAACTATAAAATGTATAGTTTATATTTAGTATAAAGCTGCTTCTTAGAACAATCTTCCTACAACAGAGGTAGCTCCTTGTCTGAGTGAGTTTTGTTTGGGTGACAAGATGGGACTTCCCGGGCATCTATAATGAAACATGTCCATTTGAGTTCCTAATGGGACGCTGATGAGATTCATTTTGACAATAAAAAAACTTTTGTTTCAAAGTCCCTCATGCTGTCCTCATTTAAACATTTAATGTTGTAAAATAAAGTGACAACGTGAGTCGGATACTGTGAGGTTTGTGTCAAATCAGCTGATTGTTGTTTATCACACATCGACGTGAGCCGGTAAAAGGTGTACCGTGGTTTTTAAATCATTGATTCAAAACTGACACAATTTTCTGTTAGTGATTTAAACTCTTTTTGATGAGATGCCTGAAATAGTGTAAAGCATAGAAAAACTACAACCCCCCATGTGTTGCCTTGGGCTGTCAGTCAGCTGTGTGTGACGGCCAAAAGAAGGAAAAAACCTGAACTTTCCTCCATAAAAAAGGACAAAATTGGCTCTTTGGAAATTTTTCAGTTAACAAAAGACACACAGTCAAAGACACCCCCCCCCCCCCCCCTGCAAAAAGCTAAACATTAGCTTGTCTTTTGATCTAAGAAACAACAAGATCCATACCGAGGCAGATAAATTGATTAATTTCCTAGTTACAATCCGGCTGTCAAGCTCAGGTTGAGAAAAGCAAAGAATAAGGTTTTACACAAAAGTACTTTTGTTAGAACTACACCTGAATGTAGCCTTTTATTTGATTTGGTTTTGTATTTTTATCACCTGCTGCAACGAAAGGCAGGCAATAATGTAACTGCTTGTGTCTGTGAGTGTGACTGTTTGTTAGCCACAGCTAATCAAGCTTAGTAAACACAAAAATGGCCGAAACCCAGACAATTTTCTAGATAATGAGCTAAAATTTGGTGCGGTTGTAGCTGAGAGTGACTTCCGACACAATTTCCGAGCACTCGTTTATTGTTTAAAACCATTGTTTAAAATTTTGGCCTGCAAGGTGGCAGACCTTATGCAAATTTTCATGAAATTTGTCTTGTTTGGTTTTATAGTTTAGGTTTTCGTCTTGTGTCTTTAGGGCGGGACAATAATTTGATATCGATATATATCACAATATATTTTTATTCAATAACGGTGATTTGAGTTTTAAGCACATTTTCGATAGTTCGATATACATTACACTACTTTGTATGATTATAGCCTTTCACTGACACATTTTTCTGTTGAGGCTGAAGCGTCCGCTTCAACCGGCGGCCATTTCAACCCGAACAGAAAAAGCTGCGACACAACTACGTAAGTCAGTGGTAACAGGCTAGGCTAGGCTAAGCTTCAACGCGCGGTAAGTTTTTGCTTCAAAATGATCTAACTTGTCATCATCTAACTTGTTCAACCATCTAAGGAGTTTCCACTCGATAGAATATGAGAGTCAGAAGATTAAGCACAATAAAATTTGAGCCAACCTGTTCCTGAAACAACACCCCCAGCAGTATTAATAGCTGTAGCTATTAATATTGACAAAGTTGAGAGTTTTATGTTTATTTGACGGCGATTTCAAATTTCTTTGAAGGCTAAACACAAATAAAAGGTGAACATTAATTTATTTTTACAGTTTCTCTGAGGCTTTTATATTGTTTATATCGATTTCGGAATTATATCATTAACGTTCGTAATTAAGAAATATATCGTGCTAAAACTTTTGGCCATATTGTCCAGCCCTATGTGTACATCTGTACAATCTAAATAATAATCATATATTAAAAACATAATTTAAAAAGGCCTGCTGTAGATTTGGTGTTTCAGTCAAAAATGTTTGTTCTATTGACTCAAAACCTTTGCTTGTGTTCTCACTATTATGTAAATTAGTGAATAAAACTCAAAATGTAACTAATATAACTACTATTACAGACACAAGTCCTGTTAATAATAACCAACCTATAAAAAAACAATATAACATTTTAGCAGCAGTGTTTATAGAAGCAGCTATTTTGTTTTCATATAAAATCAATTAGGTCACACATTTAAATACTGCTTATGGTAAGACAGCGTTATGAGATACGAGTGATATATGAGAGGGCTGAAAAACTGGTATTTTAATTCAAGGTTATCATACTATGACAATCTCATATTGGCCCGTGTCTAATCACAATTTATTACAACTTTCATGTATTAAAGGTAAATGCTAGTCTTATAACTGAATTCAAAAGTAGGCAATATAAAGTGTGTGCAATGTTTAGAATATTAACTCAACTATGTGGTGCAGTTGGAAGAGCTGTTGCCTCTCAAGGAGAAGGTCGCCGGATCAAATCCCAGCCGGGGGCCTTTCTGGGTGGAGTTTGCATGTTCTCTCCGTGCATGTGTGGGTTTACTCCGGGTACTCGGGTTTCCTCCCACAAACCAAAAACATGCATGTTAGGCTGATTGGTAACTCTAAATTGTCTCTAGGTGAGAGTGAGAGAGTGAATGGTTGTTTGTCTCATTTGTCTCTGTGTCCCTGTGATGGACTGGAGACCTGTCAAGGGTGTCCCCCGCCCCTCATAGTGACTGCAGGACACGGGCACCAGTGACCCGAAAAGGAATAAGCGGGGTAAAGATAATGGATGGACGTTATTTAAAAGATACATTCAAATGGCTCTTATCTCCCATCTACTGTAAAACCAGTTTTACTCATGTTCAATCTCAATAAACTTGTGACAGCTTGACTGCTCTCCCTTTTCACAAAGTCAGGATTCAGTATTTAAAGTAAGCCCCTTTAAATGTCACAAAGACTCACTTTGCATACATGTTTTAAAATCCTGTTTCCATTCAATCATTTTGCACATGAAAGCCACTCTTCCTGACCTACAAGCTCTGCTCTTTAAACTCTCACTGAGTGCATTAACTAAACACTAGACTTTCCTTTTTAGCAGAATACTCTGCAGTTGTTTATCAGATGCAAAAACAGCCATCAGCGGCAGCCTCCGTCAGCACAGGCGCCTGTGAGACGAGCCCGATGCGAAGCAGCGCGGCTTATTCCACTGCCTGGTTAAAGTCAAAGCTCAGTTTGCTGGTTATGTTTATCAAGCACTTTCCTATCAACGCACAGCAGCCTCTTTGTGTGAGGTTCATACTGTATGCCACGGTGTCTGACAGAAAAATTAAATTTTACAAGTGACTGGACACATTACATTCACTCTGTTGATGTCAGCAGCTGTAAACGACTGTGAATGAGTAAAAAAAGAGTTCCTTTTATAAGACAAAAGTAAAGGACGGACTGAGCAGGGAACATTACAACAGTTCGCCATGGCTGATGAATAACAAGGTCCCATCATGTTTATGACAGTTAAACATCAGGTTTCTCAGTATTTCATTTAAAAAAAAATTAATAAAAATTGTAAAACACTACCAGTTGATCACTTGTTTGCCTCAGACTACTATAAAGACAAGTATATCTCTGAAAAATACAAATTGTAAATGGACTGTAAATTTTAAAGCTGATTTTTGGTCTAACTGACCACCTTTACACTAAAGTAAACACAGTGACTAAACCAGCCACTAGGGAGCACTTGTGCCAGTCCCAAGCCCGGGTAAATGGGGAGGGTTGTGTTAGGAAGGGCATCCGATTTGACGTAAAACAGTTTTGCCAAAACTATAATGCGAGTTCATCAAAGTGAAAGGTTTACAAGACAGTTGTGAGAGCAGCTATGTTGTATGGTCTGGAGACAGTGACAAAAAAGACAGGAGAAAGAACTGGAAGTGGCAGAAAGGAAGATGTTGAGGTTCTCCTTAGGAGTGACAAGGATGGATAAGATTAGGAAGAGGTACAGCACTGGTTGAACAACTGGGAGATAGTTAGGGAGGCCAGACTGAGATGGTTTGGACATGTCCAGAGGAGGGACAGTGGGTATATTGGTAGAAGGATGTTAGACATGCAGCTGCCAGGAAAAAGACAAAGAGGAGATATATTGATGCAGTTAGAGAGGACATGGAGGTAGTTGGAGTGAGGACAGACAGAGGACAGAGTGAGATGGAGGAGAATGACTTGCCGTGGCAGCCCCTGAAGAGGGAAAAGTCGAAAGAAGAAGAAGAACGCATTTACAAACAAAAATTTTATTTTCCTTCACGAGTGTTTTTATCTAATTGGTAAATTGTCCCTAGGTGTGAGTAGGTAAAAGTGTGAATGTTTGTTTGTCTCTTGGTTTCAGCATCCAGTTCCAGAACACTTCAACATGGAAACCAAAAAAGTAATACAGACCCACAATTTATTAAAGAAGAAAATTAAAAGGCATAAAAACAGAGAATTAACTGACACTTCCACTAAACTGTAACCCTTTTATAAATGGAAAGACGTTCTATTTTAGGAATATACTGCTAACTACACCGTTAAAAACAGTTTATAAAACTTAGGTTGTGCTATTTAGAAAATTACTGCCTTCTTTTGTCTTTAATATAT